TAAATTGACTAAAATACTATTGAAAATTTATAGAGGTATTTTGATTAATTTATATTTAACGAATTATTTTTTTCATATTTTTATTAAGTACACCTCACTAACATGTACACACACTTCAAATTTCAGATCATTCCGATTAGTAAAAATAAATAAATAAAAATTGAAATGCTATCGGACAATCTTGACCGTGTGATGAAATTTGGATGGTGATGAAAATAAGTGAAATTACTAATCATTTTCGCCTATGGACGTTTTATAGTATATTCCATATATAAAATCTTAATCAAGTGATTTATTCATTGCTCATAAAAATGTTGAAAGCTTATGTCCCTGATAATTTTTGTCTTTGTGTTCTTTAGAAATGAGGAGGCAAAATCTCATACTTTTACAATCGTAGTAGAGATTACAAAATTACAAAAGTAAAAAAAAATTGAGTTAGAGTGATCCATTTTTATTTGAATGACTTGAATTTTAAACTACATTTTGACTATGAAATGGATGTAGTGGTGAACAAATACTTAGTCATAAAGCATCTTCTCAATATTTATAAATTTTCAATAAAATAGTGAAAGTCTACAATATAAACCTCAATTTTTTTTGAAACTATAAGAAACTAGATTTTAAAAAAAAATTAGTGATTTCTTTTAAAAAAAAAAAGCGATCAAAATCCTTGATTTGGTCGATTTTTCAATCCGAATCGCCTATCCACCAATTTTTGAAGCGATCGATCCAATTCACCGATCTACTTTTTTAAACCTTGATAAAAAAGGCTAGCCTCCCATACAACAATTAATTACATGTGTAATGTTGACCTAGGCGTGCAACATGATGTTGACTTATGTAGATTGGGGGGAGGCTACTTTTAAAAATAGTTTAAAATTTTAGAATTTTCAAAAAAATTCAAAATCGGTTCAGTAGAACTAGCTTGACTGCTGTCTGGTTCAGAACAGCCAGAACCGGACGATTATGTGGGATACACAATCAGATCCCGAAATATTACAGAATTCAAAACGATCATGACGATTCACGATCCGAATCGCAGCATCTTGAAACACCGGTTATTTGCGGAGCTATATAAGAAGGAAATTAGAAAGCAAAAGGAGCTTCTTTCACGAGCTCGAAAGGAGAAATAGGCACACTACACATAAATATAAAACTCAAGGAAGAGACATCAACAGATACAAAAAGAAGAAGAAAGGAAAGGCAAAAAATTTATTAGAGATGGTACCTCTCTGGTGTAGAACTTTACAGCGAAACCACGAGGGTCTCTGATAGTTTCAGGGCTTCCACGCTCATGGATAACAGTTGAGAAGCGAACAATAAGCGGGGTCTGCACCCCTGGAGCTCGAAGAAGATCAGCACAAGTCAGATGAGAGATGTCATGGGTCACCTCAAAGAAACCCTTTGCACTTGCACCCCTCGCATGCACAATACGCTCTGGTGTGCGCTCCCTCGTGAAATGCGCAAGCTTCTCAATCAAATGATAGTCCTCAAGAAGAATAGGCCCTGCATCAGTGCCCCAACAACAACAAAAAGGGTTTTAATTCATTCATGTCATCAGATGTAGAGAGAGAGTAAATCGTTTTGGCCAAAGCCCGAGTATTTTGGCCGAGTCTATTTTCTAAACGCTGATATATAGGGAGTATTTTGGCCGAATCGATTTTCTTACCACTGATAAAGTAGATTTTCTAAACACTGATATATAGTGGATATTCTAAACACTGATATATAGTGAATATTTTGACCGAGTCGATTTTCTTAACCTTATATATAGAGTGAGATAGAGAGAGAGAGGCCCCCTGAATATGATATGGTGAGAGAAAGAAAGCCCCCCTGAATATGATAATGATTATTAACATATCTAACGAATCTCATTTTATAATGATCAGTAACAAAATATACTAACAAAAGGAGCCAGCCCTTTATATGATCATTTTTAGAGTGAGAATCAAAACTGCAACATTCAATGAAATGAAAAATCCGTACCAACTCACAACAAACGATAAAATCAACAGCCATGACAAACAATCAGAAAGAAGCCATGAATACCTCTAGATCCAACAGTCAATGAGGAGTCGTCATTCCAAACAGGTGCACCAGCGTTGGTGGTCATGAAAGGGGAATTGTAAGCGCTGGAAGGGCGATACTGGTTCAAATTTCATTAAAAATTTAGCCAAAAGTTAAATCTTCCTTCCAATTATCCAAAACCCAACTGTAAAATACTACAAAACCCAAAAACCTAGAGGGAGAAATCAAGAGCTATACCTTGTATGGATCCATGGCGCCTGACTCAATAGAGGATGGGCTAGAGAGAGAAGAGGAGCTTTATGTAAAGTATTTTGGTGAGTTTTCTCTTTAGGACTGCACATACTTATAGGAAAAAAGATGGGCCCAACTTCAAGATCTCTTATCCATATCTCACATGAATGTTAGAAAATTGTTAATTTTCAGAGAATCCTATGTATTTCATTGAGTAATGCACATTATACTTTGAAAAAATATTACATTTAACAAAAATCTTTTAGCTTTCAAATAAATATACATGTGGTTCCTCTCATAAAGTAGTGGGGCCCATAAAAATAGGTGAGGCAAAGTGAGCCCTCATAGTTACCTGGGTCAACATCTCCCACTTGAACATGACATTCATACGCAATAATAAGTCATAGTTACAAACCCACATTTGAGTGTACCCTTTAAAACAATATTTTTTCATGAGGTCACTTTCACGTTTTCGCAAATATGCTTCTCATAACAAATGTTCGTAATATCTATCATCAAGACTTTTAAGCTAATACGGAATTGTCACTCATGGAAAATGACAAATGTTTTTAAGCCTCATTAAGCTAATGCGCTTAAAAAATAGTTCAACGCTTAAAATCTTTGTCAATGGGTCAACGATTATATCAGATGGGGGCAAATAACTAACAATTACTTCATTTTTCTTAACTACATCATGAATATAGTGATATTGTACATCTATGTGTCTTCATTTGGAATTATTTACTGCACTTTGAATTAATTTAGTTGAAGCTTGATTGTCACAAAATATTTTAATCGGTCTGTCGATTATTTACAGCTTTGAGTAATCTATGATGCACTTTTTCTAGACTGACAACGTAAGTATATTCAATGCTACATGAAATGGACTCTGATTACTGTGTATACCTGAAATGGACTCTGATTACTGTGTATACCTGGCAACACACTCTTATTTCTTACTAGGCCAAGAAACTACTGCTCTGTCAAAGAGGAAAACATGCCCTCAAGTATACTTACTATCGTCCTTATCCCTAGAAAATCTGCATCTGAATATCTTAGAACTTCAAGCTTATCTGCTTGAAAGCATAATTTAAGAGGTTTTGTTCCTTTAATGTATATTATAATTCTTTTAATCTCTTTTCAATGTGTTATGCCTGGATTACTTTGATATCTACTTACAAGACCTACAATATAACCCAAATCTAGTCGTATACATCATACCGCATATATTAAGCTCCCAATAGCTTATGCACATGAAACATTATGGTTTTTTTTGTCATTCTATTGAACAATCCAGACAGCTTTACTCTTTTTTTAACAGGAGTAGACAATGATTTACAATTTTTCATTTTAAATCTATTAAGAACATAGTCAAGATATCTCTGTTGACTCAAACATAACATTATGGACATCTATTTCTAGTTATCAAATTGAGAAGAAAGCGATGACTTAGTCTTATCAATTATTTCTAAGTCATTTTCAGCTAGTAGAATATCTACTACATCATTGAATGAAAAATCGTACAACCGATAACCATCCGGTATTGTCAAAAAAAAAATTTATATAAAAGCCAAAAAAATAAGGGATTTTGTTTGTAATGCATCTTTTAATGTTTTTCATCATTATGCCCATTAATACTAATTTTTACATTATCCCATATTTTTAGAAAATTTCAAAAATACCCATTGGCACAAATTGATTCTTTAAAATCTATGTTTAAATAATTTTTAACTTCATTTGGATGTGATTTGTTTAATCATATTTTAAATATGATTTTTATATTAGATTTTTTTTTGTATTTTTTTAACACTTTTTTATCGCCTGAGACTTGCCCGGTTAGAACGGTTGAATTGGTCGGTTTACTAGTTAGGTGAGTTGAACCGCTTTCGGGCCCATATCCGATTAACCATTCTGGTTCGATTTTTCCTATATTGATCTACATATAATGAGAGTATTATGAATTTACTTCATCTCTTCAAGACATATACACAATGAACCAATCATTTACTTCATATTTCATTTCAATGGTGTGATCATGAAATTTTAAGTACCATTGTCTTGAAGATTATTTTAAACCATATAAAACTTGTTTAATTTATATACTTTGCTTTCTTGGCCCTTAATTATGAAGCCCTCAGGTTACTTCATGTAGATGGTTTCATTTAGTTCACCATTCAAGCATGTTGTCTTCACATCCATTTGGTAAAATTCTAAATCATAATATGCGATGATTGCCTGAATTATTCTAATGGATATAAACCTTGCAATAGGATAATATGTGTCAACATGGTAGACTCCCTTTTTTTAAGTAAAACCCTTTGTTATTAACATAGCTTCAAATTTATCAACTGACCCATCATATTTTAGCTTCTTTTTAAATACCCATTTAAAACCTATAGCTTTCCTATCTGATGGTAAATCACATAGATCCCAAACTTTATTTTTTTCAATAGAATTAATTTCTTCTCTCATAGCATTAAGCCATTATTGAGATTCTTGTGACTTCATCGCATCATTAAAGTTAAAAGGATCATTGATTTCATCTACATCAATGAGGTTGTCTATCTCCTCACTCGTGTAGACATAGAAATCATCAAGGTATGAAGTATGACCTCTAGACCTCTTTTGACCCCTTAACATGGGGTGTGTAGGTACTTCAACATCATCATGTTGATCAAGGTATAGATAGCATGTCCACAATTCATAAAAGTATAATCTATTGCTTTAGCTGAAACCCTGTTAAGGATAGACCTAGTTGTGGTTAATGCTTATCCCCAAAAGGTCTTAGGTAGACTAGCAAGAGCCATCATGGATGTAGTCATTTCTAAAAATGTTCTATAATGCCTTTCAGCTATACCATTTGGTTGTGGTATACAAGGCATAGTGGTATATCTTTTAATACCATTTTCTTGACAATATGTTAAAAGCTTGAGATGTGTATTCATCTCCTTTATTAGTTCTAACAAATTTAATGTCCCCTATCCAATTAGTTTTTTACTTCTCTTTTATATTTTTTAAATATTTGTAAGGCTTCGGATTTATGGTGGATTAGATAGACATATCCAAACCTAGAAAAATCATCAATGAAAGTGATGAAGAATAACATCCTTTTATGAGATTTAACATTGAGAAGCTCACAAATGTCTGAGTGGACCACATTCAAAAACTCATTAGCTCTCTCCCCTTTATTAAATAGTTTCCTAATTATTTTTCTTAACAAGAAGTGCTGACAGGTTGAAAATTCCACATTATTTATATTTGAAATAAGACATTTATTTATTAACCTATTTCTTTTGTCTTTCTCTATGTGGCCAAGCCTAAGATGCCAAGTGTATGCATCAGCAACCGTTACATAGGTAGGTCCCCTAAAGTGAAAGATTTTGCATTCAATCTAAGTATTGTGGTTACTATCCTCTATGAAGGTGGAAGACTATTTAAGATTGTGGAAGCTTACATTCATTCGAGAACTTCATTCCTAGCAATAGCTAACTCCTTAGCCATAACTAGTATTTTGTTTACGTGCTCCACTAAATTATCACCCTCTTTCATTTGAAATGAGTTATATTGCTCAACCATTACTGAAAGTAATACATGCATAAAAAAAACAACTATAAGAGAGTTACTTGTAAGTACTTCAAGTGCATTTAAATTGGATAAAAACAAATGGGATTGTATACAATGCGACCATTTACCTTTAGGGGCCATTTGAATACCTGAAAATATATTGTCTGTGAAATATATTACTGGTGTAATACATTAATGCGTAATACATTACCTGTAAATGGATTGTTACTGTTTGGATAGTATTTAGATACAACATGGGAAATACATTGTTATTGTTTGACAATGTCTGGAATAAATATAGGAAATACATTACCAACATTTTACCAGCACGTGCCTATAAACGATCATTTCTTTCTTTTTTGTCACAAAATTCTCCTAAAATGCATAATTATCATTTCATTCTTTTTTGTCACAAAAGTCCACTAAAATACTGAATTAAAATCATCATCACACCATTCCAAAAATATTTCTAATAATAACATTATCACCATTCCAAAAAGATTTTCTAATAATAACTTGTACTATTTTACAGTCATGACACTATTTCCTACAATCATGATACTATTTCCTACGTATTTTAAGTGCCTTTGGCACTTATATGCAAACATTGGTTTCAACATGATAAGTCATTGGAACAATATGATTGGAATAACATGATTTTATTATGATGAGCCTTATTTTTATTTATTTATTATAGAAGTCTTTCAAATGTCTATCTATATAATTTCAAATGAACAATAAATTTATGATACTAAATTCAAAATCTGTGGGGTACGAGTTAAAAAATGAGAAGAAGTTTGATTAGTAAACTAGAAAGTTTGGTAATTGCAATATAAAATTTTGAGGTTTTGGAGGAGACTAAAGAGGTATGTTATTTCAATTAAGATTTTAGTAATATCTTGTAGGCATTATGTTGTGTGAAATTTTTTATTATGATTGTGTTGTGTCATTTATCATTGATTATTTATTTTTATTTTTATTATTTTTGTTTTTATATGACACTAATGCCTTCAGAGGAGGGGACGAGCTTAAAAAGGAAGGGACCACCTAGTTATTATGAAGAGAGAGAGCTTAAAAGATATTTTTAATCAGTGATAAGGTAGGCAAAAACACACGTAATTTTTTTTCAAAATTACCCGTCACTCTTGTAATAGATGTTTCAGCTATCACAACCCGTAATGAATTCCCTGATTTTTTGGGAAATCTCACGTACTCTCTTTCCATTTCCTTACGATTAAGTGTACCCAAACAATGGAAATGTCATATTTTTTTGTAATCTATTGTCACGTAATAGATTTCCACGTACCCGGCCCTTTAGTATAAGGATGTCACAATTACTTATAATCATCAGACGTGAAATCTTATAGCTTAAGTGTGTCACAGATTTCGAAAATATTTATTTTGAATTTTGAGTTTGGTCAATAAAATCAATGTTTCCACCCAATTTCACATCTAATGGTCAAGATTAATTGCGATCTCCCTATACCAAAGATAAATTGTCTCATTATATACTTTTCCTAAACAAATTTTGTATAACAATGGCGA